TTCTCTTGAGTCTCTCTTGACTCGCTTTCTTTCTCTCGAGTCTCTATTGATTCGCGTTCTTTCTCTTTTCGCTCGTAGACGGCTCAGGGTTTCACCGTAGCGTGAATTGCCCATCGGGAACGGCGTAAGTCCGACCCAATATCTCCTACTGTCTACGGAACCAATCTCGAGGTTCACGCGCTGTGGAATCAGGTATCGAACTTTCAGTGTGCACACCCCCTACCAGGATTCCAAGCCTGACTGGTAGTTTCCAACCTCGTAATGTGGGAATACTCCGCGTTACATGTACTAGGACCGCAATGTCCATAACAATCATCCGAGAGGACATAGTCCAAACGGGTCCTCCAAAACCTCACCGATATAGATAATACATATATATATCTCTCATGCATCAATCTTATGCATGCAACAACTTTACTACTTCTCAAATGCATCAAAGAATGCTATACACATGCTCATGGTTTTCGAAAATAATACTTGGGCTCACGTTGGCCCCTTATGTATTTTTGAAATATGACATATGTGAGATGCCAAAATGCTCTATAACATGCTTCTAAACCATGTATGAAATAACATGAAATACTTAAGAATATAGCGTCATGCTCGGTTTGCAACATAGCAAATTCTATTCATTCTATCAACAACATGTGCTTCATTTCACATTGATCAAATATCACAATCTAGTCATGCTTTCATAATAAATCATATTCTCAAATGATCATGCTTCTTTACTCAATAAAAACATCATCAGATCACTTAGTCAAATAATTCTTCATACACAGTGAACTAGCAAATATATACTTTGTGTAGCAAATCATCACTAAAACCTTCATAACATACTCATTTTTAATCCAATTTCAACGAAATCAAAGCCAAAACGTGCGTCGAGACGGTCCCGATGAGCCGAGCCACAATGGCCCGACCACTGCACAGATTCTTCTCAGAATCAGTGTCAGGGACCTGGAGCGGAACTCCTCATGGTCGGCCCCTTGTACCCCGTCACTTCATCGGGTGTAACACCCCGTGTTACGGCCTCTAAAACCATTTAATTAATTAATCAATAGCCCAAGAGAGAGAATAAATTATAATTAATTAGGGAAAAAGGCCCACCATAGTCCATGGGCCCTCATATATAAACCCAACCCCTAAACCCAATCCTTAGTTCCAAAAGGAATAGAATTAGCGAGCCTATAATATTAGTTCCTAATTAGGACTCCTAAATATATAAATAAGGGACTTAAGAGGCACCTAGGACTCCCCACAAGATTAACGCCCCACCACCCCAAAAAGAGCTCCAAGAATCCCCTTAGGAGAAATCAAGAAAGCAAGGAAGCTTAAAGAAAGATCCTTCATAGCCAAGGAATTGATTAAGGCGAGAGGTAACCCATGTCTCAACAAAACCTATTTTCATAGTTATGATTCCCCCTTAGGGTTTCCCCATATTACTGTGTATTAATGACTTGTGATGATTATTATTGATGATTGATGTGATGATCCCATGGGGGATCTTGATAATCTTGATATTGGGAGATTCTTGATAATTATGGTGTTCTTGATGATTATATGGAGTTCTTGATGATTATGTGTTGTTCTTGATAATTGTGTGACGCTCTTGATGCTTATGTGTTATTCTTACCGAATCTTGCAATTAGAAGACGAATCGTATCCTTGTGGATATAAAAGTGATTAGAACCCTAGGTTGTATCGTATGATATTATTCTTGGATTATCGGGTGGGGAAATCGCATGTTTGGGTGTTGATTATGTTTAGAAAAGCATGATAGGTTATGTGCCGTTCGTTCAAAGAATATAGGCAAAAAGGGCATCGAAACAAAGGGAGTAGATGAATGGTGGAGAATAGACCTTACTGTATGTCTTTCTTCTTTCTAGCAGACAAGGTTGGGAGAGGCAAGGGAATGAGATCGGGGATTAATGAGGAAGAAGGTGTGGTTTTATAGGGTGCAAAACCCTAGGAGATTCTCCCATGATTGGTGGAGGGAAAAATGGCAGTTTGGTTGATTTTCTAAAAGCATCAGACAAGGCTAAGAGGTTTGTGGTTCACCAAGCAACATGAACCATAGACTAGAAATGCTATTTTAAATACTTTGGGGGTTGAAAATGAATTTTCTCAAAAAACTATTTAGATGATCCCTTGTTTAAAATCTTTTTGAATACTCCCGGTCTCGCTCAGATAAATTTCTAGATTAAAATCTTGGTACGCGAAGTACTCGAAAATTTAGGAATTTTCGAAATAGAATCAATTTTGGTGTCGAATTAATTTAAAATGTGACGAAAATAATTTATTCAAACACCAATTAATCGCAAAAAATTTTAATGGAGTGAAAATGACTATTTTGAAATTTCTTAATACCGGATTTAAAAATTGAAATTTTGGGTTGTTACACTCTATCCCCCTTAAAAGAAGTTTCGTCCCGAAACTTAGAAGAAACGGGTGGATTAAGTTCTCGAAAAGAAAGGGTGATATAATCAAAAGGTTGAAATTTTCTGTTGGATCACTTTGGAAAGATTTAGGAATCTCTGAGTTCTTATCTAGCTCTACTAACCTCTTAACAACTACTCAAACAAATCTGCAGACTGAACTCAAAAGCTTAATTAGTTACCTTGATCAAAACCTCCCGATGAATCACCTGGTGGCATGTAGCTCGGATCCCAACCATAGGGAGTCCATCTTTGCACATTCTCGATCCCCATCCTTTGCTCTATGACTGATGCTCGTTGATCAAAGTTGGAAAATCCGTAGCTCACTTGGGCACTAAAATTGTCGAAACGGTTGTTGATCATAGCATATAAATCCTCATAAGTAGGTCATTGAGGCCCATTCATGTAACCCTGTGGTGCTCTCGGCTGAGTAGCCGTAACTGGTGCTCCCTCGTGACTCATGCCAACTCCCGAATCAGTTCCCATTGCAACCCCTTCTCCACTGGCCTCAGCTATGTGTCCGGCTTCAATTCCAACATTCGACCACTTTCGTTGGGGTACATTCAAGCTAACCACCAAAGTAATTCTCTCATCCAAGGGCTTCTTAGCAATGTCAGCTAGGGACAGATACTTGTTCTCAGCAACCTGATACAGCTCATAATATTTCAGATTCGCGGCATTCAAAGCCGACCTAGTGGTTCTTTGTATCGTTTCTCCTAACTTGGGTAAATTCATCCTTTTGAAAACCCAGCTTAACATCATGCCATAGGGTAGATTCTTCTTGTTCTTTGCTTTAAAGTAAGCCATGTGCTTAAGTATCAAAACTGGAAAATTAATAGCACGACCAAATCTCAACATAAAGGCAATGGTACACGTCCAACTACCAATCTCCATAGAGTTGTTCCTACACGGAAACAAGCACTCTTCTATCAACAAAACTAATAATTTCTTCTCCCCAGACAAAGTGGGTCTCTCGGGGCGATACTCTTTAGGGAACTCCTCCCTACTCCCGGTCATGTATCTCAAATACTCCTGATGTGTCAACCCCGCGTGGGCGACCCAATCGTCCCTGTCATACATATCCAATCCATCCAACGACAAGTTAAACCAATTTGACAGTTTTTGTGGTGTCAATTCTACTTTCATACCTCTCACATTAGAGACAATCGAAGTCACTTCCTTCTTATATTTTGTGGACAAATTCTCATAAAATTCAATCACTAAGTCAGGATAAATTTCTTCTTGAATTCTTAGGAATTTCCTCAACAAACCTCGATTTTCCAATATGCTATTAAAATCTTCGGAAAAGAATTCGGGAAAATAGGTTTTACCTCCTATTACAGAGTAGGTAGGTGCTTCCTGACTTGTTCCTTCTACTTGTTGTTTTCCCTTCACCATTGTTGTTCAAGCTTATTGTCTTGATCTCGTTAAAATTGCAGTGGATGATCCAACTAATATTTTTCTCGTACTTAGAATGACTTGGGGAAGACACTCTTGAAGTTTTCTTGATGAAAGATGTTGATTTGGAGAAGATAGGTTTTTGGTTGAGGTTGAGGCAGTGTGTAGCGGTGAAGAGAAGAAGAAGAAGATGATGTGAATTTGGTCTCTGCCTTGGAAAAATCAGCACAAGGGTTTTAGGGGGGTGGGGCTTGGCAGCGGCCTTCCCAATGGGCCGTGCCATGGTCCGTTGTCAGCGTAGCTGACACGGCCCCCAGGTCACGGACCGTTACGTGTTCCGTGACCATGTTCCATCTCATGGAACGGGCTCCGTTCCGGCCCGTGGCCTAGACCCGCCACGGGGTCGAGTAACCGGGTCGGATCCGGTTCGACCACAAATTGAAATCGGTCCTCCGCCTTTGTCAAATCTTCAAATCGGGTCAAAATTGGATGCAGTCCTCGACTTTAATAAATGCCAATTTTGTTGTCAATCCTTTGACTTTCAAATTCCTCCCGGGAATTGCTTAAGTTAGATTCTTATCCAATTTCTTTCCTCGTTGTATCCTTATTTTCTTGTTTTCACTTATATTTCAGTAAACATCTCTCTTATTTAAACCTCAATCGTTTCCTAACGATTTTTCTTTTTCATTCTTACTCATATCTATTTTCATTCTTCTAATTCTCTTGTTCGTTAATTCATAGCATTCAAGTCTAAGCTTTTCCCCAAAACTAACTCATTTAACTTCTAAATTCACAAAATTCCTAGATTGACACATCTTTTAACATCTTGCAACAACTTGTAACAACTTCTCAAGCATGCACATCTAATTAAGCATTCAAGTAAAATCAACACACTCATTCCAAGTTAGAGTGTTACCTTTCTCTAGATTGCGATCTCAGGCCTGAGTTTGTCCCATGACCATAATCCTTCTTGGTCCAGCTCCTCCGGTACGTCCTTGTTGCGCTCCGCCCCGTCCGTGATTCCCATTTCTGTGCGGACCTTCTCTCGGTGGATAGCCATGTCCCATAGCTTGATTCAGCGCCTGGTTGATCGGACCTCTGGGTGGCTGGCTCGGGATCGTACCATGAGATGCCTCTATCCTCGGGGAACGACAAATAGCGGCTCTATGACCCGGCTTCCCACACCGGAAAGCAAACTACAGGCAATCCTCCACAAGTGGTCTTAGGATGATCTTTGCCACATCTCAGACATACCGAAGTCCCCTCTCTCGGTGGTCCTCCAGATCCAGCTCCCTGTCTCTTAGTCATGTTCCTCCTTTCCCCACCTCTATGGTCAAGCCTGCCCGTCGGATTGAACCCGTGTCCCTTATTCGACTGTGCTTCTATCCCTTCATTCTTTTTCTTCATCCCTTGCATGGCGTCGCGATGCAACTGTTGAATCCTGGAGTAACCAGTAGCTGCCTCATAAGCTTCATTCAATGTATCAAATCTCGCCGCGGAGAAGGATTTCTGAGCATCAAAGTGCAATCCTCGGATGAACTTGCGAGCCCTACTCGCCTCATCAGGTACCAAAGTAGGAGCAAATCGAGACAATGCCACAAAGCGGGCATGATACTCCTGAACGGTCAAACTTCCTTGCTCGAGTGCAAGAAATCCTCATACTTGGCAGCCTTGACATGCTCTGGGTAGAATCTCTCTCGCATCACCGTCTTGAACATTCCCCAGTCAAACCCTTCCCTTGCCTGGACAACCAGTCCCTCCATGACCCACCAATGGTCAGCCTCTCCCTGTAGATAGTATATGGCAGCCTCTACTCGCTGATCCTCTGGGCATCCTACCACGTTAAACAACTTGTCAAATGTGCGGATCCAACCCTCAAGAACTTCCGGATCCTCCTGACCCAAGAAACATGGTGGATTGCGTCCTGTGATCTTTCTGGACACGTCACTGCCACCGTTATTCCCATTGAGTACGGCAACTCCTATGGTCTGGGTTAACTGGGTGAGCTGGCGCAGACTCTCAGTCAAATCCGTAGATGACGACGCTCCAGGTCCTGAGGAGCGAGGAGATTCCTCTCCGACTCTTCGCGGCGGCATCGTGAAACCCTTCGTACATGACCAGAACAGATCATTCTTGTTAGCACGACTAATAAGTTAGCTAATTCTAACTTCTCTATTCTTAAGACAAACTTGCAACAAGCAAATCACGCAAGGCAACAAAGGCATCTCTTATCATCTACTTTAACAACTTAACAAAATAACTCATCTTCTAAGCTTTAACTCTCAAACTCTTGGTTTTTCTCTTTCAACTTCTCTCTTTACTTCTCTACTTTACTCGAAACATATAACAACGCATAACAAGCACATTGATAAATCACATAAGCAAGACACAAGTATAAACTCTTATACTCTTTACATTAGAACTTTTACAAGGCTTCCACTTTCAAACTTTAACTTTCAAATATCTCAACTTTTAACTTTCACTTTAACTTCTCACTGAAAACTTCTCTGCTTCACTTTCAAAAGATATATAAAAGCACTTTAAACACATTGATAAAGCACAAAACATATAAGCAAGCACAAAGGAACTCACGACCTCACCGCGTTCCTAACTGATACTTAGAGTTTCTCTTAACTCTGATTCTCATACTTAGTCACTGGACTTAGAGTCTTTCTTATCTCAATCTTCATAACTTAGGGTTCTTTCCCTAATCTTATCCTTCTTAGGATTTCCACTTAATGTTCTCTTCTTATCTAGTCTTTCTTAAGACTTCAACTTAGAGGTATTTCCATAACTTGTCCTTCCTAGGACTTTCACTTAGAGTTTCTATACTCAATCTTAAGGATCAAACTTTCTAAGTCTCCCGCGGTTCGTACCGCTCTGATACCAATTTGTAACACCCCACTTTTCTAACTCTTAATTATACCTCTAAACAGACATTAAAAAAAACTAAGCAGCGAAAATATTAACAAAAAGATAAATAGTGGGAGTGTCACCGCCACAACCACCACTCTGTGGTGATTGCACAGGCTAAAGGGTAAAACTAAAAATAAGATAAAATCTAGTATCTAAATAAAATACTGGAAACATAAGGGGGAAAAACGTCACCCCAAAAGTCTACAACATCCTCAAAAGAACATAAAGTTAATAAGTCTAATCATCAAAATATGATCATCAATCAATCTAGAGTTTAGACATCTCTAACTACGAGACTAATCTAACTCGACTTCTTCACACTGCTGGGTCTACCTGAAAGGGATTTTGCAAGCAACACATAGACAAATAGGAAAACACCCGTTAGCACGAAGCTAAGTATAACCACACTCAACCCTGTAAAGTACTATAGAGTATACTTTGAAAACATTTGCTTTCTTTATAAATAATAACTCAATCTCAAATCATCTTTAAATTTGTCACACTCTATCTAGATGCTTGCACCATATTATATCAGCTGGCATGCTCATATATATACATAAGACTGTTCACTTAGATTCAACAACATAATATTTTCTCAAATAACTTATCAAACAATTCATACTTACAGATAGGATCATGCTAATAAACCATATAACAGGTATACTCATGCTTTCATATTCTCATCTCATAATTCGATAAACAAGACTACTAATACAACAAAACAATTATAAATCAACATTCACATTATGTACTCTCATGCCGATACTTTACTCGAATGCAATCTTGTGCAATGCTATAATCATACTCATGTGCAACCTCGTGCAACAATATACTCATACTTATATGCAATCTCGTGCAACAACATACTCATACTTATGCGCAATCTCGTGCAACAATATACTCATACTTATATGCAATCTCGTGCAACAATACACTCATACTTATATGCAATCTCGTGCAACAATATACTCATACGTATATGCAATCTCGTGCAACAATATACTCATACTCATGTGCAACCTCGTGCAACAATATACTCATACGTATATGCAATCTCGTGCAACAATATACTCATACTTATATGCAATCTCGTGCAACAATAGAGTACTTTCTGTGGAGGTCTCTTTCTTTCTTTCTTTCTTACTATTGAGTCTCTCTTGACTCGCTTTCTTTCTCTTGAGTCTCTCTTGACTCGATTTCTTTCCTTGAGTCTCTCTTGACTCGTTTTCTTTCTCTCGAGTCTCTATTGACTCGCTTTCTTTATCTTTTCGCTCGTAGACGGCCCAGGGTTTCACCGTAGCGTGAATTGCCCCATCGAGAATGGCGTAAGTCCGACCCAATATCTCCTACTGTCTACGGAACCAATCTCGTGGTTCACACGCTGCGGAATTAGGTATCGAACTTTCAGTGTGCACACCCCCTACCAGGATTCCAAGCCTGGCTGGTAGTTTCCAACCTCGTAACGTGGGAATACTCCGCGTTACATGTACTAGGACCGCAATGTCCATAACAATCATCCGAGAGGACATAGTCCAAACGGGTTCTCCAAAACCTCACCGATATAGATAATACATAAATATATCTCTCATGCATCAATCTTATGCATGCAACAACTTTACTACTTCTCAAATTCATCAAAGAATGCTATACACATGCTCCTGATTTTCGAAAATAATACTTGGGCTCACGTTGACCCCTTATGCATTTTTGAAATATGACATATGTGAGATGCCAAAATGCTCTATAACATGCTTCTAAACCATGTATGAAATAACATGAAATACTTAAGAATATAACGTCATGCTCGATTTGCAACATAGCAAATTCTATTCATTCTATCAACAACATGTGCTTCATTTCACACTGATCAAATATCACAATCTAGTCATGCTTTCATAATAAATCATATATTCTCAAATGATCATGCTTCTTTACTCAATAAAAACATCATCAGATCACTTAGTCAAGTAATTCTTCATACACAGTGAACTAGCAACTTCCACCATTTTCTTTACCACCTAAACACCCCAAACATCAACAACAAACTAAGCCTAAGAGAACTCAAAGAATATAGGCAAATAGGGCATCAAAACAAAGGGAGTAGATGAATGGTGGAGAATAGAACTTATTGTGTTTCTTTATTCTTTCTAGAAAACAAGGTTGGGAGAGGCAAGGGAATGAGATCAGGGATTAATGAGGAAGAAGGTGTGGTTTTATAGGGTGCAAAACCCTAGGGGGGCGTTTGGTTCGGGTTATATAACATAACCAAGGGAATGTGACATTCCATAGCTCACATTCCGGTGTTTGGTTCATATTATCTTAGGGAATCTAACATTCCCAAGGAATGTTACATTCCCTCCACATAGGATTTTGAAGGGAATGTGATTCCCTTCAAAATCTTAGGTAATGTAAGATAACCTTGGTTATGTTAGTTTATTATTATATATATATATATATATATATATATATATATATATATATATATATATATATTTTATTATGTTATGTTAGCATATAAAATAATTTTTTTCTCAAGTTCAAGATTTTAGTTAATATTTTAAAATCATGTAATTATATATGATACTGTTATCTTATTTATTTATTTTAATAACCTTAAACCAAACATGATTATATTACATACCCCAATTTTAACCAAACACAGGAATCTAACATTCCCAGCAATCTAATATTCCCTAAGGTAATCTGAGATTCCGTGAACCAAACGACCCCATAAGGTAATCTTACATTCCGGTAATCTCACATTACCTTCCTGGAGGTAATCTTATTACCTGGGGTAATCCAAGATTCCATGAACCAAACGCCCCCTAGGAGATTCTCCCATGATTGGTGGAGGGAAAAATGGTAGTTTGGTTGATTTTCTAAAAGCATCAGACAAGGCTAAGAGGTTTGTGGTTCACCAAGCAACATGAACCATAGACTAGAAATGCTATTTTAAATACTTTGGGGGTTGAAAATGAATTTTCTCAACAAGCTAATTAGATGAACCCTTATTTAAAATCTTTTTGAATACTCCCGGACACGGTCAGATAAATTTCTCGATTAAAATCTTGGTACGCGAAGTACCCAAAAATTTAGAAATTTTCGAAATAGAATCAATTTTGGTGTCAAATTAATTTAAAATGTGACGAAAATAATTTATTCAAACACCAATTAATCGCAGAATTTTTTAATGTAGTGAAAATGACTATTTTGAAATTTCTTAATTCCGGATTTAAAAAATTGAAATTTTGGGTTGTTACAACACATCCGTTTAAGACATGCCGAAATCTAAAAATTTTAAGGTTATTTTCGTCCTTTTCAACTTAAGATCCCAATTTGAGCATGAATAAAGATATTTAAGTCCTAAGATCAATCATATCCCAATTCGCAATTCTCCTCCTCATCCTATCTTAATTTGAGGAGGAGAATTGCGAATTGGGATCGATCTTAGGGCTGAAATTCCTTTATTAATGCTCAAATTGAGATTTTAATTTGAAAAGGACGAAAATACCCTTCGTAATTTCATATTTTAGCATGTCTTAAACGAAAGGGTGACCGGCGCGATGAATTTTAGCATTAAAACAATAGTCGTGGATGAAAATTGGTAGGAATTAAACATGTAGATCAAAACTGTCATTTTGCTAATACTCGTGACTCGTGAGACCAAAATTGGTATTTGTTCAAATTATTATTATTAAAGAAGATAAGAAAATATATGGTGAATGCATGTGCATGGTAACAATAGTGCACAAGATAACGGAAGTTATAATGGTAAATGTATGTTTGTCCAAAATATTATATAGTACAACTTTCATAACATAATGTATTAAACATAATGTCAAAAAATACACCACACAAAAAAAATACACCACACATAATGGTGTATTTACGAACACTGTGTGGTGCATTTTTGCATATATATATATATATATATATATATATATATATATATATATATATATATGGAGTGGATCATGTGCAAATATAACTTCCCGTGCAGTAACACAAAAAGACGCACCTTTTAAACATTAAATTGAAACACCTTAAATACATAAACCATACACCTTAAAAACATAAATCACACACCTTAAAATACAAATCACGCACTTAAAGTTTTAAAATTATTCCCCTTAAATTTTAAGAATTGATATGGGTGAGGATATGGTGTTCGGTCCATTATTTGGTCGAAACGTGTAGAGGAATAGTGTAAGGGTTGGGGAGTGTGAGCATTGGATAGCACGCGAGCGAGGTACGATTCCTACAGCAGTGTGAGCATCATTGACCCTTTCATTTACTTTGCTTTTTTGTTGCCCAAATATTTTCAGGATATTACCGTGTACTGTGTATGTCGTCACTGCACCTTCCCAATTCAATTTATATGCGGTCTTTCCCTCTCCACTCTCCACTCTCCACTCTCCACTCCTCCCAAGTCCCAACAACTCACTCTCGACAGCTCTTCCCAACAACAACTCATTCTCAGGTTCCTCTCCGGCACTCTCAGGTTCTTCTCCAGCAACAACTCGCGTCAACATCAACATTCAACAGACCATTAAGACTCAGGTAATTTAATATTTTCATACATTTTTAATTTAATTAATTTTATTTAATTTCTGATTTTTTTATTCGGTCTTAGGGCTTTTTAATGGATCTACGTAAGCAAAATGAGGAGCTATCTGGCTGCAGTCTTAATGATCTGGGACGTATGATAAAGGAACAAGAAAGACAACTTACTGCTTTACTTGAGGAGCACCGCGGCGTTTTGGCCGAGTTAGAGATGCCACTTCAGCTGCATGTTGAAAGGGCGTTGACAATAGCCAGAAAGTACTGCGAAATAAAAAGCAATCGGGATGAGATAACTGCGCTTAATACTAAATTGGAAATTGTCAACCAGGAAATCGATAAAATCATCAAAGAGGGGAAGCGGTTGGAAGTCTTAAACGATGAGGCGAAAGGCTTCCTTGCCAACTTACAACAAGCTTTGGACGATTTGGTGAACTTATCACGATCTACATAGGCTTTTATGCCCCTAGGTAAATTTTAGTATACTTATCTCTAATTTACTTTTCATTAATACTATGAACTATTCAATACTTTTTATTTGAATTACATCAACAATAAATATTTAATGTTTGGTGGTTGATTTGGATTAAGATTGAGATTTACTTTTATTTTTATACTTTTAACATAACATGAATAGGATTCTCATAATTGATTGAACTAGAAAAAAAAAATTCAAAAATCACATGAAGCGAAATTTGTATAGGCTTAATGTTTATGGGCTGGGTAATATTTGTTAGAACTCTATTATTATTATTGTGTTATATTAGAACTCTATATGGATGCGTATGCTTTTTGAGAAAACTTGCTTCCTTTTAATTGTTTATGTGTCAAGCAATACTACTTGGGTTTTGTAAATCCCTAGCCTCCATATTTATCTATGTTTTGAAATGCCTAATATAATACATAATATTTTGTCTTGAATGCTTTGTGTTATGCATACAATAATTTAGATTTGAACTTTAACTTTTGTCTTGGAAACTCTTTGGTTTTGGCATGCTTTACATGTTAAGTTCTTATCGTTTAATTATTTCAAAAAAATCATCATTTTTCGTCTAGTGTTGTCTAGAAATGTCTAGTAAAATCCTTTGAAAACATACTACTAAAACTTTTTGTTAACCTTTTCAAAACATACGAGTACCAAAACCTATTTCCAAAGTATATTTTATTTTCTAAACTAAAAATGTACTTATTTTACGGGACAAAGTGATTCTTACTTTATGCTAATTGCTTGTTTTTTGTGTTTTTCAAACTTAACCCTTTCCAGGTTTGGATGCATGGATGCATGATGCACTGTGAGACTTGTAGACTTTTGCTGTGGATTTCTGTAGTGTTTCTTTGAGGTTCTATGGGATTGTATGATGCTTAATTAGACATTTGGGTCTTTGAACCCTTGTTTTATGTTTAGCATGTGTGTTTAATTTGTTTGGTGGATTTAGCCGGGCAGCTACCTAGGAGTGGATAGTTGTGACGGTAACACTAGCCGTGTTATGATTATGAATTCTAATCTTTTATCTTATTTTAATTTAATGAAATCCGTTTAGCTTATTCTGATGCATAAGTTTATAATTAATCTATATAATCTATAGAAATAAAGGCCGAAGATCTTCACCAGGAGCTCTCTAGCCTTCCTGGGAAGTAGGAAGACCTCCTTGCCATCTCAAGGCTTATTTATAAGGGTGGTATGGTCCGACTTGTTTTCCTCAACCCATTGTGCCATTTAAGTATGTACCCCTTCCTCATGTTCTACCTCTTTTTGAACATGATCCTACGGTTGACTGGGGGGACAGTGTCATACTGTTCCTCCTCTGTTTAGGGCATTCTCAATGGATTTACTTTTTTCCCAACCCATGTTAACAGAGCTCATAAAAAAATATAGCAACTTTAGTGGTCATGGATGTAAAAATTTAACGAGTCACGGAGTGACCAAATGTTTACTGAAAGAAACCTACTAATAATAATGATTGTACAGTTTTTGTAATGTTATGATTTTTATTATTTTACTGTCTTAATTGTATTTTTTTTTTAAAAAAATAATCTTTAACCCAAATACATCTATGTACTCTCAACTTATATTCCTACTTGTATTCAAATTTGATTGGAGAAAGAAAAAAAGAAGTGGATAAACATCAATGTCCCTTATAATTGAGCAATTAAAGCATGCCAAATCATACGAAATAGAAAATGGGAGTATGAATTAAGAGTATATGTAGAATTAGTCATTTCTTATAAATAAAGGAACATATTTAACCTTTATACCCGTATAGTTTAATAATTTAATTGGTAGGGTTTTATATTGTTTGTCTCACCAGAGTGGTGACCTCACTGGGCGATGTTTGCAGTCTATGCAATTACAATGAAATGGATGGTATTGGACTTTTTTTTTTTTTTTTTTTTTTTTTTTTTTGACGTTTTTTATCTGAATATATATATATATTATATTGTTGAAAAAATAGCATTAAAATGACATTTTAAGTAGCTATTTTCTGGTACAATTATCAGTGGGATTCACTTTCGATTTGGATGAGGTCAAAGTGGATTCGGGTTCTTCGTAGTGAGACGAAGAGATTGATATATTGTACGTTCAAAATGGATAATGGGTGAATGAGATATTAATTTTCAAAGTAGACCCATTGAGTTGAAAAATGAAGGGAAAAATATGAGTTTTTGTCCCACATTGGTTTGGGAAGTCGATTTGCACCACTATTTATACAAGAGTCTTTCAAAGACTTATTGAATTGTATAGCATAGAGGCTTTCTCTCGTGTGTAGGTTTGATTTTGGCTTGGAAATTGATTGGCCTTACGGGTTAAATTATACTAACTTTTGATATCTTTTTTCCAAACGCAAAGGCACTTCGAGCAGCGCATTGGGCTGCTAGATTCGGCTTGGTCGAGATCGGCCTTCAACCCGAAACTAACTACGGGCCATGGAGTGGGTTCGGCCAACTAGCCGAGAGTGGCCGAAACTGACCACGAGCCATGGCTTGGCTTGGCCAAAAGTGATGGTACGGCCTTCGGCCTTGGCCGAAAGTAACACATCGGGGCGAATATGGTCGCAACAGCACTTGTGCGATTAAATTAATCAGTTATGGAATTAATTGTCTATTAATTTTAATTTAAAATTTTTGAATTTAATCTCATTTAGTGGCTGATTGTTTAAGGTGTTACAAGGTCAGGTTTAATGGCCATAATGAATGCTATTAACTTCTTCATCCCTATATAAGAAGGGATAGGGACTACAACGCTCATAACACTTTTGGGAGGTAGCAAATAAGGTTTTAAGGAAAGAGTGTTTCGCTTGACTCATACTAACCCTCTTTCTCCATCTTCTTCTTTCAGTTCATGGGATTATGCTTTTAAGCACCAAATCCTTTCTCCTTTCTTGTTGGTTGGAATATAATTATAATATGGAGGATTATAAATTCCATTTTGGTTGATATATATATATATATATATATATATATATATATAATATATATATATATATATATATATATATATATATATATAGAGTTAATTATCGAAATGGTCCCTCGACTAAAGTGAAATTACCAATTTGGTCCTTCGTTTGTTTGACCGTTAGTCAACCGTTAACTTGGGACCAAATTGGTAATTTCGCTATAGTCAATGGACCATTTTGGTAATTATCTTTAGGGGTGGGCAATTCAGTTTAGTTCTCTCGAACTGAACCGTATCAAACTGAACCGAACTAATTTGGTTCGGTAATATACCGAACAACCGAAAGGTATTGGAATTTTTATATACCGAACGGTTCAATAAAAAACTGATCCAAATTGTTCGGTAAAAAATTGAATTGAACCGAATACCGTTTGATTTTTTTAAAAAATATAATAATAATAATAATCATAATAATAATCATAATAATAATAATAATAATAATAATTAAATCTAAGTCCCATACTGCTTGCTCTGCCGTTCAGCTCATATTTTCACGGGTATCTCTCGTAAATGTTTTATTTGATTTCTTTATGGTTTGTTATCAAAAGTTATATATTATGTGTTATGGTGTTTACATAGTCCATATCCAAAGTCTAATGTATAACAAAATAGCAATCCAAAGTTCAAACAGTATTCGGTTCAGTTCGGTTTTTACCGAACAAATTCAGTTCGGTTTGAGTTTTTATCGAATCGTTCGGGAATCTATTACCGTTCGGTTGTTCGTTATATTACCGAATCTAACTAGCTTGGTACGGTTCGGTTCGAGAAAACTGAACCGAATTGTCCACCCTTAAAGTTAATTACCAAAATGGTCCCTTCACTATAGCAAATTACCAATTTGGTCCCAAGTTAACGATTGACTAACGGTCAAACAAATGGAGGACCAAATTGGTTAAGATTTTTAAAGTTGAGGGACTTCATTGGACAAAAAAATAGTCAAGGACTAAATTGGTAATTTTGCTATAGCCAAGGGACCATTTTGGTAATTAACTCATATATATATATATATATATATATATATATATATATATATATATATATATATATATATATATATATATATGATAGTACTAATTCCATGTGTTAAGTGGTCAAGGTACTTAAATAAAATCAAGTAATAACAAATAGAAGTCTTTTATTGATAAGAAGGACCTAATACAATCTAAGTGATTATCCCGAGGGTCGACTGACTACGGTCGGGCAGCTCTGTAGATAATCTATCGATCGTTCAAAAGTCCTTCACACTATAGCCGCCGTGGGTATTTATAGCCGCTAGGCCGGAGACACAGCTCTGGCCGGCCGGCATGTGAACCACGTAGCTCCACGCGTCTTCACCCGGCGAGCCCTCTCTGTCTACGTGTAGCACTGCCACATGCCTCTTCTCGAGATCCTTGACTCTTCGTAAGATAAGGGCCACTAATCGGGTGATAAAGACCTCGATCGGGAAATCTACCGGTCGGGTCCGACCGTCTTCCTTTATGAATATCCGACCTGTAAAACCTGCACAGAGAGCGAGAGAAACCAAGCTGTGTCGGTCGGGATATATCCTACCAAAAGCCCCCAGCCCCGGCCTTTTTGACCGCTTAGGAAAAAACGGGATGGGATGAAATGGCCTAATCATTCGGCCTGTGATCCCAACCGGACAGCTGTCGCCTGTCGTGCCACGTGTCGGCCTCTGCGCGCCTAAGAGTCTGTAACAGTCAAATCGCGCAAGTGGGCCGTTTCCCGCCCAAATATTTTCCTATAAATAGGCTCTTCTGAGGTTCATTTAAACTTTTACCAACCCGTGAGAATCAATCGGAGCGTCCCGAGCGAGCAACACTGTGCAGCGATCGATCAAGCAGCTTTCAACTTCTCCAGCAAACATCACCCAATCGGTAAGTTCTCGTTTCCCTACTCTTTTCCTTTCTTCTTTTATCCTTTTCGCACAAGGCCATCTTCGGCCCTCGACTAACCCCGACCGAACTGTAACCGACCCCATCTACTGAAAACACGACCGTCTCCTTTAGGAAAGGGACATGTCGGATTCTGACAGCCAAAATATCTCGGGAGCAGGATTACGACTATGCGGTCGAAGAGCTTAGCGAGGAGGTAGAAATAGAAGCGTCCTCGCCTGAACTCATCGAGGTCGTTCAACGACCACGCAAGGTTCCCGAGCGCCAAAGCTCTTCCAGCTCAGAGAGCTCGTCAGGGTCGAGCAGATTCAGCGGTTCAAGCAGCGCCAGCGACAGCATTACTTCAACGAACGGCCGCAAGTCTCCGACCGAGGGCGTTCGGGAAACGCATACGAGAACGATCGGGGCTGACCATGGGCCTTCTACATCAGCGCGCAGCCGGGAAGCCACTCCTGATCCGATCGAGGAAGAACCAACTGCAACAGCCGCCGCGCCAGAGTTCGTCTTCCTTAACATTTAAAGCGTCGAGCAGCAAGAGTGCCTACTGACGACCGGAGAAGCGGCGAAGATTGCCGCAAGGCTAAACGGTCGGGTGCAATTTGATACCGACGGCACTTAGGGCACACAAAGGAGCGCCACCGAGGGAAGTGGATCGGGATGCACTTTGATTCTTTGCAAGCCCCGATCACTTTCCCTCCCCCCCCTCCTGGACAGCGTTCCTGGGCTACTACCGGGTACTACCCGCCCAGATATGCCCGAACGCGCATTCGGATCTTTGCGTGCTTCTCGCAAATTTGCGCTCGGCACGACGTTGCGTGCTCGTTGGAGCTCTTCAACTTTATCTACCAGGTTAAGCCTTTGCCGGCCAAGTACGGGAGCGGCTTCTTGATGATCTAGTCCTGGGCCGATCTGTGCTCGATCGATAATCTGCCCGGGAATAACAAAGGCTGGAAGAATCGCATCTTCTCAGTCAAATATGACTCCTGAATTCTCCCGGTCGACCGGACGTGGGGAATGCACTATAGGAAACAAGTGCAGCCGGTCGAGACCGAAGCCCTTCGTGATGCAACCATCCAGATCTCTAGTGAAATCCACGAGTACAAGATATTCCGGTCGAGGGAGAGCTACGACGCCGCCCGATTGCCGCCACCTCGATACGACCTGGACCAGAAGTACAAACCCCGACCAACGGG